AAAGCACACATGGGTATTTTGTCAGGTAAAGAAGTAAAAGATACTCTCCAAAAAGCAGTTGAACTCAATAATACTTAATCACATTCCATTCACTGTTGGAGAATGTTCAGCCTAAGTTTTAATTTTCAAGAATCACCTTTTTATTCACACACACGTTAAATTTTATCTTCAGGAACCTCTTTATTATTCAGCAAGAATTCGCTGGAATTAGATAATAAAGCGGACAGTTAGTGTTTCATTACATTTAAAAACTTATTTTCTCCTTTAACCTTTTAGAATTATCACTGTACAACTGGATGAGACAACTCCTGTGGAAATGAAGTTAGGCCCAGCAGCAGAAGGCAGGACAATAAACGTGTCCAACCTCTACATCGGGGGGGTTCCAGCAGGCGAGGGGACCCCCATGCTCAAGATGAGAAGCTCATTCCATGGCTGTATCCGAAACCTGATCTGGAACTTGGAGTAAGTGTGCCTGTGCTCTCGGTGTGGTTCTGCCCTTCCTGATCTCCTAATGCCAAGTACTGACACCAATCTGCAACCTAACTTTATGGTTCGAGATGCACTTTATGATTCTTTCTGTCTTGAGCTCAATGCTTTAAAGGAGACTTTACTAGGCTACTTGCAGCTTCAGGTTTTTAGTGGCTTCTCCTGAAACAATTACTATTTTCCAAAAACTCCCATGTGGAGCTGACCACGAGGAAGGGCAGCACACGTGCCCACGGGCATTTATTTCCTCACTCCCCCTCTGCCTGTGGTCAGCATGCTGGGGCAGACAAGCTGTGCTCTGACCTGGGGTCGTGGGAGCAGGATCTGCACAGGAGAAACTGGACGTGAGTCAAGTGTCAGGAGATTGAGGATCCTCCCTCTCGCCTGTGACCTTGAGCAAGGGCTTAGATGTTTTACAGTCGTAGTGTCCTTTGTACAGTAACCTCTTAGGAGTCCTTGACATTTAAAAAAATAGAACATCGTCTTGGGTTTCAACACAATGATGATGCCAGAGCCTTGGCTCAGTTATCTGTGCAGTTGATATATTTATTCATCCAGTTGTTTGTTTATTAATTAAGCATCTTCTGCTCCTGAAAGCCTTGAGGCTGGGAATCTGACAGGGCAGAAATGTCTATGTGCTGTTCACAGCCACATCCTCAGAAAATGCCAACAAGGGACAGACAGGGGACATGTTGTAGAGTAAAGGGACTTAGGACAAGCGTAGTTCATGACTTCCTGGCAAAGGGAAACCTCTGAGAAAGAAGTCAGTGTTCCACTGAGGCCACTGTGCAGCACTGAGAGCCAGAGCCGGAATCTCGCCCTGAGGCAACCTGACCAAGGCTGCGGGAGGAGGTGACAGCATCTAAGCTGACTCCTGAGGGACACTCGGGAATGGCCAGGTGGACACAGGGGATGGGCTGGGGGCTGAAGGAAAGGGGGTCGGGGGCTACCATTTCAGGCAGAAGAATCAAGAGATTACATAAGGTAGGATATAAGGACTTCTAGTTACTGTAGTAGATGGTCAATTTGGTTACTCTGAAAGTATTAATATTTTTAATGGATTTTATATTTTCAATAATCAAATAACCTTGGTTCATGTGTTGGCCTGTAATATCTTCATTAATTTTGGAAACACTTTGCACCTAGACTTTTGGATTTCACTAGTGCCACTGGCTATGAGCAAGTGGACTTGGACACCTGCCTGCTCTCAGAAAGGCCGAAGCTGGTTCTTCATGAAGAGGATGGTGAACTCCCGCCAGAGCCCCAGCCTTTACCAAGTCCAGTAAGAAAGGCTTGCTCTAACTATATAATTCAGGTCCAGGAGGAAAAAAAAGGAGCACCACCCAGAGGAAATGAAAATAGGGGCCTCGTTAGAAAGGTGTCGGGCAAGCTGCAGGAGCACACTGGAGCCATGATGCAGGGGGAGAGGGGTGCTGCCTGGCCCAGGAGCCGGGCTGCCCAGGGTCTGAGCAGAGAGGGTCTCCTAGTGGGCACTGGAGCGCAGGGAAGACAGGCCCTGCCAGGGGGGCAGGAGGGAGGGAGAAACACTTGGCTTCTCCCATTCAACCTCCAGCCTCCCAGCACTGCCTTCCATTGGCTGGGAGAACCAGCTGGAAACCACTTTCCAGAGGAGCCTGGAAAGAGTCCCGGGCTCATCACTGTGATGAGAAGCAGGGCAGAGACACCTTGCAGGGGCATGGCACAGCATCCCGACTGCTCGCTGCAATGCTCGGGCGCCTCATGGCTGCCATACAGCAAACTTTGGGGCAAAGTCTCTATAAAGATTATCACTGCGGATTTAGAGACGTGAGATTAAGTATTTATGTAAGCCATTGTGCATATCATTGTTGCTTTGAAAAAAAATTTAATTCATCTAGAAAAGGCCAGTGTTGACCAAATATTTTTAACAGCAGACATTGTTAATTTTCAGTTTTTTCCCCTTTTTCTGATCTCTTGGTTGAAAGTGTGCCCTCCAATTATTTAGATATTTATGGCATAGTCACGCAAAAGCAGCACCTTCCGAGCAGGACCCATCTTTGAGTTCAGGACCCTTGTCTTGGTAGCATCTGTCCACTCAAGCTGGAAAACTGGGTCTGAGGCCTCATGTTGTCTGGAGTCAGGTCACCCGCCCCTCCAGCCCAGCTCCCCCTGGCTGTACCTTGCTCCTGTCCGGGAGGAGCCAGCTCAGCCCGTCACCTGTGGGCATTTAGTTTCCTGGTGTTAGTGCTCTAGCTGCTCCTGAAGCCACAGACATCCTCAGGCCCTTCCCAGAGTGAGGGTTTCAGGGGGACAGAGGGCAGAGCAAGGCCTCTGCTCCTTAGGCCAGATGAAAATTCATGGGAATTTAGGTGACCTTCAGTGGGACTGAGGTGGAAAACAAAAGCTCTAATTGCTTTCTCAGAGAGAGAACGGGATGTCGAGTAAATTGCTGAAAAAGCCAAAAAAGGTGAAATCAGTACAAACATGTTTCGTTGTAGGTGCTCTGACACAATTGCTTCTGAGATGTTTTCTTCATGGAAAAATGTGGCTCTGTTAGCGGGGGTCCTGGCCGTGGGTGGCTGAGAGCCATGTGCATGTCTTACAGGGACTGTGTGCCGTGGACAGAGCCCCGGAGTACGTCCCCAACGCCCACCAGTTCGGCCTCACAGAAGGCAGCCACTTCCTGCTGCCCTTTAATCAGCTGGCTGTCAGAAGGAGGTAGGCATTGCTCTTAAGTCCTCATGTGGCATCTCGTTGCTAGGTGAATCCAGGAGGTATTTTTCAGCAATGGGTCTTTTCCAGAAGAAGCTTTTCGTGTTTTATTATGAAATGTTCAACTTGCCACCAAATGGCAGCAGGGAGAAGGCAGAGAGGAATGCACAGCTTCTGTGCAGATCAGATGATAAAACGTGGTTAAGGGGGTGGGGGGATCCCGAGGTTCAGCCCCTCTTGATGATGGCTGGTTGCTGCCTCTCTGTGTGCATGTAGTTTCCTCTAAAATCACTCTTCCTTCTGGAAGTCCCAAGACTCCTGGATCTATCACCTGGACCTTGAACCCCAGTCTACAGTCAGCATTCACTGATCTGATGAAACTGTCTATCCAGACTCTTTCACTGTGCCTTCCAAAATTCCTGGTCCACACCCACACCAGTCCGCATGTTCCCTCTGGCCCTCATACCTGCCTGTCCCAGGTGCCCTTCTTCCTTCAGTGAAGCAGGCTCACATCCCAGGGATCTCATGGCCAATGTGCCTCAGGGCTCCACAGCCCTCCTGTCTCCTCCTGGGACTCTCCAGCCTCTGCAGCTGATGCCTTCAGCTCTGCACCACAAGAGGTCCTCTGAGATCACTGCCCCACCACAGATCCTGGCTCAATGTCTTTTCTTTGCGTCTCCTGCCATCTTTCCCCATGAGTTCAGCAACTACCCAACACCTGATCTTCAAGGTCCCCTGGCTCCGATTTGTCAGAGGTCTTTTCCTCCCTCCTCCCCGGCCACCCTCTCCCCATAGTCATACCCTTGTGTACTTAGGAGTATCCATGCCACCTCCACCATCTCTACTTTAAGCATCCTATTAACCGACCTCTTCCTCCTCCAGCAGATCCTCAACTGCATCAAGACCTCTAAGCCCCTGTGCTCTCTCACCATCATCGCCCCTGTCTCTAGCTCCCACCACACAATGTATCCCCTTAACCAGGTAGTCCTGATGCCATTATCACAGGTGTTCCTTTGTAACCCCCCTTAACCCTCTCATCTCTTCCATCAGGACCCAGGTATAACCCACACTGGGCCTAATTTATGCCAGAACTTGAGCTGGTGGTCAGGGCTGCAGAAATGCATCTCTTTCCTACCTGGTTTGACTTTAATGCTGTGGCCACAGACCTCAGATGGAGCCTCCAAACTCTGAATGTAGAGGGAGCCAATACACTTCTCTAATATGGTCACATTTTTTAATAGCTTCTCCTCTTATCTCAAAACTCTTTGCAACCCCATCCTCCCTTCATGCCCAGAAGCTGACTTGCATCCTTGAGAAGAGCGAGCCTATTCATCTGTCCAGCACCAAAAAGAGCTCCCGCCTTTGTCCCCAACCCTCTTCCTTCCTTCTTGTCTCCTCCTTGTCTTCCCCCTTGCTTGCCCTCCGGAGCCATCACCTCTCTCCTCTCCAGAACCTGGGCAGCATCTGTTTCTCCCTCTTTCACACACGATCTCCATCAGCACACCAGAAGAATCACCACCAGCCCCCGTCACTATTCAGTGAGGGTAAGAGGAGCGAACACTTGTGCCAGAGACTGTCTCAGGACTTTACACACATACCCCAACTTAGTCCTCATAAATACCCTGTGAGGAAGGTGTTCTCTTCATTTTATAGACTAGGAAGCTGAGACACAGGCTCAGACTCACACCGCGGAGCGAGGGCCCAGAATCTTTGTGACTGCTGTGCCTACTTCCTGTCTAGGAGTTTCTAGCTTTTAAAACAGAAACTCCCAGGAGACTCCAACCCCACCCCACCCAGCACCCGGCTCTGCTGCACAGTAAGACTTCTTGAAAGAGTTGCCTCACGTGGCTGGCTGTCTTTCCTTAACTTCCACTCTGTCCCCTTTCCACCCAGTCCGCCTCTCCTCCCTTCTCGCCAGCCATCTGAGACCTGCTGCAGCCAAGTCCATGGTGCCATCTCTGCAGGGCCCTCGGCAGCATCAGCCCAAACCTACTAGAGCTTTTTTTGTTGTTGTTGTTCCCTTCACTCTCCAAATTCAGTCCTTCAGCAAGTCCTGCTGCTTCTTTGTCCAAAACGCTTATATTTAGTTCATCTCCCAGTCACCCTGGTCTGAGCCACCGCCTGGTCTCTGTGGACTCCTGCTAGCAGCCTGGCCCTGTCTGATTTGTTCTTCACATCAGAGGTCCTTTTATAGATATAAATCCAGCCATGCACACCCCTCCTTATTAAAACCCTCCTGTGACCTCCCACCGCACTTACAGTAAAATTCAAATACTGCCTCCCAGGCCCCCGCATCCTCAAGGATAGAGCCATGCTCTCCTGTCCCCATCTCTGTGCACCTTAGTGACACTGCCCTTCCTTCTGCGGAAGGACACCTTCCCTCCATCCTGACATGTGGCCCCTGTGGGGATTCCTGGCTGACCACCACACTCAAGCCCTTGTTTTCACATACTCTGTACTGTCTGAAAACAAAATGTAGGGCTTTACTGTGGAGCCTTATGAGGCTAGGTCCTGCCTTTCATTTGGGTCTCAGAAATACCATCTTTCAGAGTTGTCTCCCTGACTATGTAACAAAACCACCAATGGTCCCTCCGTGACCCAACTTTAACTCTGACATGTCTCTAGTATTAGTTTCACTGGGGAAGGGCCTTCCTCTGTTTACTGCTTGACCCTCTGTTCCTAGACTAGTTCCTGGCAGATGGACGTCTGTATTACCATGAGTTGAATGAACAGACGGATAAGTGAAGGAAGGGATGAATGACCTGAGATGTTAAATATAAATGTTGAACAATTAATGGGTTCTTTCTTTGCAGTTATTTTAAAGAGTAAAAGTGAAAGCATATTCCTTTCTGCGGGCTGAGCTCTTGTTTCCCTCCAGGCTCTCGGTTCAGCTAAGAATCCGAACATTCGCCTCCAGCGGCCTGATTTACTACACGGCTCACCAGAACCAGGTGGATTACGCTGCTCTCCAGCTGCACGAGGGCCGCCTCCACTTCATGTTTGACCTTGGGAAGGGCCGGACCAAGGTCTCGCACCCTGCTCTGCTCAGTGACGGCCAGTGGCACACGGTGCGCTCTCAGGAAACGTGATTGCTCGTTCCAAGTTTCCTTCCGCCCGTCCCTTGCGTCTGCTCCACTCCGAGGAAGTGGGATTACTCCCTTTGATTCCTAGCTTGCTTTGCGTCTGGTATCTGCCTCCTTGCAG